CCCCAAAACCCCAAAACCCCAAAACCCCAAAACCCCAAAACCCCAACTTTCTGGAAGATATTGAGCTTTCAAAATTATATAACAGCCAAACATAAGTAGTCCAGAGATTAAGTCCCAATAACTCAGACTTATTTGCCCCTTCTGGCATTATATACTTGTGCTCCAAAGACTTGTTTAGAAACGAGCAGATATTAAAACTGGTGGACACCTATTTGAACATATGATTTCAGACTTTTGGGGACCACAGGATATACCTTCTGTTCACCTCAACATAAGAACTTGGAAATATGGGTGGATGAATAATTGGAGTTGAAGAAGAGCGGATAGTTTAATTGATTCATAAATAAGATCCATAAGAAAGAATTTATAAAATTTCCTCGAAATTAGACCCATTAACAATAGTGAATAGTCTCCTCCTAAGCGCAAATATTTAGATGAGAGAAATTCATTGTGAGTATCTTGAAAGTAAATCCAGGCGTTCCTCGCACAGAACTTTGATGTACGAATTTGGTGTCTTTTTACTCCTAAGCGTCTCCGATGCCTAAACTCCTTCATAATTATAGGAAGTATCTTTACAACTTTGAATGGAACTTTTCCTCTGCGATTACTAATGCGTCTGTTTGACTGGAAGTATAGTGACCTCTACACTTTACTAAAAATTATGCCCTCAAACTAATAAGAGCCAAGTCCAAAAGAGTAAAATATATTTAAGCGGCCTAACTTGGAACAACAGCCAGTATGGTCATATTGCCAAAAATACTTCAAAGGTTTTCTTCACTGCCATAAAGGAAGTTTAGATATTATTCTGAGCAATAAAGTTCCCTTCAATCTGAGAAGAGATGTTTAGCTGGAATAAATTAGACTTTGATAACATCTTAAGTTTCTTAGAGAACTCATGATTGTGGTTGCAGCTTAGCAATTCAACCAAGGAATATGCCAGGTCATGATTGCACTCTTTATTATTTGTGAACAATAGATTTATAAATGATGTCTAAGGAAATGCCAGTAGCCTCTATTCTAACAGTATTTTACTTTTGGTTAAAGTAAGATCAAAATAAAATAGATTCTTAATATATTTGCTAAGACAAGCCTAAGTCGTGAAAATGGTATTTATTGTAACAGTGAAACAACATTTATGACATGCAACTCTATTTCTTCCTAAGAAAGTGAGATAAACCCAGAGATAAACAAGCTGATGAAATGAGTTATTGCAAGATAGCCAAATCTTGAAATTAGTATCAGTTTTAGATGGTTTAGAAGGAGTAGTGAAATCTATAGAGACTCTATCTTGCTCCGACAGAAACCAAGCAGCATATCAACACAATTCTATTGTATACTTAGTTTCAATTCAAAACGTCTGAAGCTAAAAATATTAAGAATACCATGAAGCCAGAGTAAAAGTTTGTAAAATATAAAAAAGTTTATCACTATCCAAGCTCAGCCTCATATTATGTCAAGCAAGGGTTTGCAGTTGATGCCCATCTACCATCAATGGGATTATTTCGTATATTTAATCTGAGTCCTAACTTCCCATATATTTACAGAGCTTTATTGGCTTAAAACTAAATTTTAATATATTTAGCTAAATAATTTATGGATGTCATTTAAAAATCAAACTAATGGGGTTTTGGGGTTTTGGGGTTTTGGGG